ACTGACCCCTAGAGGTCACCTATCACATAAAGCCACTCCATCAACACAGGGAAGCTTCCAGAATGTGGAGACAAAGAAATACGTCACGAATGAAAGAAATGGGGGAAAGCAAACTACTGGACATAGAGTTCAAAACCACATTCATTCTAAAAACGCCGAGACACTTGATGAGACCTATGAGGAGCTTAGTGAGACCTTCAAGGACCTTAATGAGAATGCCAAAAAAATGGACAAGGACCAGTCAGAAATTAAGCATACACTGTCTGAAATAAAGAATATACAGAAACTCAACTGTAGATCAAAGGACCCCAAGAATCAAACCTAAGATCTAAAATTGGAAACAAAAACACCCAACCAGAAAAACAAAAAGAAAAAAGAATAAAAAAATATGAAGATAGTGTAAGGAGCCTCTGGGACAACTTTAAGTATACTAACATCTGAATTATTGGGGTGCCAGGAGAAGAAATAGAACTAGATACTGAAAACCTATTTAAAAAAATAATGACAGAAACTTTCCCTACCTGGTGAAAGAAGTAAACTTACAAGTCTAGGAAGCACACAGAACCCTAAACAAGAGGAATCCTAAGAGGACCACACCAAGACACATCATAATTAAAATTCCAAGGGCAAAAGACAAAGAGAAAATCTTGAAAGCAGCAAGAGAAAAACAATTAGTTATCTACAAGGGAGTACCCATATGACTGTCAGCTGATTTCTCAACAGAAACTATGCATGCCAGAAGGGAGTGGCAATAAATATTCAAAGTGATGAACAGCAAGAACCTACAACCAAGGTTACTCTACCCAAAAAGCTATCATTCAGAATTGAAGGTCAGATAAAGAGCTTCACAGACAAGAAAAAGCAAAAGGAGTTCATCACCACCAAACTAGGATTATATGAAATGCTGAAGGGTATTCTTTAAGAAGAGGAAGAAGAAGAAAAAGGTAAAGATAAAAATTATGAACAACAAAATGACAACAAATACATACCTACCAACAAGTGAATCTAAAAATCAAGTGAGTAAAAAGTCTGATGAACAGAATGGACTGATGAATATAATAGAATCAGGGACATAGAAAGAGAGTGGACTGACAATTCGGGGGGGGGGGGGGGGAGAAGGTAGAAGGAGGTGTGAGTGGTGTGGGAAGAGATTGGACAAAAATTTTATACCTATGAATGAAGTCAGTGATGGGGGGTTAGGGCATGGGGTGGAGGTGAGCTATGGGGGAAAAAAAGAGGAACACCTGTAATAATCTGAATAAAGATTTATTTAAAAAAATAAAAAAAGAACAATGTGTACCTTTGCTGTAGTTGGATGAAGTGTTTTAGAAATATCAGTTAGGTCCAATTGATTGATGGTGCCATTCAGTTCAACTATAGCCTTACTGGCTTTTTGCCTATTAGATCTGTCAGTTACTGTACTCGCTTCGGCAGCACATATACTAAAATTAGATCTGTCAGTTACTGATAGAGAGGTGTTGAAATCTCCATCTAAAATAGTGGGTTTATCTATTTCTCCTTATCAGTCTTATCAGTTTTTGACACTCTGTTGCTAGGTGCCTATGCATTAATGATTGTTATATTTTCTTGGTGAATTGACTTCTCTGTCATTATGTAATTAACTCTTTATCCCTGATAATTTTCCTGTTCTGAAATCAGCTTTGTTTGACATTAAGATAGGTACTCCAACTTTCTTTTGATTCATTTTTACATGGTATAGTTTTCTTAATCCCTTCACTATTGTATTGTGGTAAAATATGCACAATGTGAAATTTACCATTTGAATGATTTTTAAGCAAACATCATCACGATCCATCTCCATGATATTTTCAACATCCCATACTGAAAGTTTATGCCCATCTATACTAATAAAAACATAATATGCTAATTAGACCAGACAGCTGAATGATTTACTGGACATCCTTCCAGATGTCATTCCAGATGCAGCTGCAGTGGTGTGGCTGAGGGATAGGCGGTTAAGGGCGATCATTCCCTGAGGGGTCCCGGATTGTGAGAGGGTGTAGGTGGGGCTGAGGTACCCCCCCCACCTCTGTGCACAAATTTCATGCACCAGGCCTATAATTAAATAATTACCCTTTCTTCACCCCTCCATCTCCTACTAACCATTCCGCTTTCTGTCTATGCACTTGCTTACTCTATGTACTTCATGTAAATGACAACATACATATTTGCCTTTTTGGGTCTGGCTTATTAGCATAATATCTTCAAGGTTTATCCATGTTTTAGCACATATCACAAGTTTATTTCTTTACCAATAAACTCAGTTTAGGCCTACAGGGGAGGGCAGTTGGGGGTGACCAAGCCGGCTGGGGAAGGTAACCCCCATGTGGATACAAGATGGCTGACAGGGGAGGGCAGTTAGGGGCAACTAGGCTGGCAAGGGAGGGCAGTTAGGAGTGACCAGGCCAGCACAGGACGGCAGTTTGGTGTCAATGAGGCTGGCGGGGGAGAGGTTAGGGTGGATTAGGCTGGCTGGCAGGCAGAAGCTGTTAGAGGCAATCAGGCAGGCAGGCAGGTGAGTGGTTGGGATCCAGCCATCCTGAATTGTGAGATGGATGTCCGACTGCCCGTTTAGGCCCAATTGAGATAGGCTGCATGATCAGGACTGCATGATCAGGACTAAACCAGCAGTGGCACATCCCTGTCAGACATCCCTGAGGGGTCCCAGATTGGAGAGGGTGCAGGCTGGGCTGAGGGACCCTTCCTTCCCCCTTCTCCTTCCACCTCCTGTGCACGAATTTCATGCACCTAGTATACCTTATAAAGGTTAAAGTTAATCTCAACTTTTGCTATTCTCTTTCCCCCCATATCAGCAATTTTTTCATAGAAACTAAAAACAAATATAAGCTCTAGATATGGTTGGGGTCTCTCTTCCTTCTCTCATGAGGAGAATCCAATATCCTCTCTGGAGTGGCTTTTCCTGCTTGTCTCTCTTCCATCTCTTTGGGGGTTAGGATTTTAACATATAAATTTGGAGTGGGGACACAGATATTCAGTCTATTGCAGAGAACTTAATATAAGATCTACGTTCTTAGCAAATTTCATACATACAATATAGCATTAAGTATAGACACTATTACAGCACAATTTTGAATTTAAGTGGTACAACTGAAATCATTACCTTGTTCCTGATCTCAGTCTTTCACTGTTAAGTTTTTAGTTTTTTTATAGATATTCTTTACCAATTTATTTATTTATTTTTATTTTAAAAATATATATATTTTATTGATTTTTTACAGAGAGGAGGAGAGAAGGATAGAGAGCTAGAAACGTCGATGAGAGAGAAACATCGACCAGCTGCCTCCTGCACACCCCCTACCAGGGATGTGCCCGCAACCAATGTACATGCCCTTGCCCTGAATCAAACCTGGGACCTTTCAGTCTGCAGACCGATGCTCTACCACTGAGCCAAACCGGTTTCGGCTCTTTACCAATTAAAGAAGTTTTCTCTATTTCTAGTTTCTGAGATTTTAAAATCAAGATTGGCTGTTGAATTTTATAAAATACTTTATAGTATATTGATATCCTTTGTTACCTTTCATCTTTATCTCCTATCAAGTCTCTCAATACACTGCTTACTCTATTTCTTTTTAACATGCCAACCACTCTCCCATCTCAGACTCTGCAATTTCTACTCCCCTGTCTGGAATGATCTTCCCCTCAGATAAAAACAATGACTTATTCCCCTGTTCTCATTAAGCTTTTTGCTTAAATCACTTGTTTTTATGGAAGCCTACCTGGGCCACTAGACTGCTTAAAATAGCAGGGTCACCTATACTCCTTTCCCACTCACCTTGTTTGTACTAATATCTATCTATGACACATTATCTTTTAATATAACATCTATTTTCATTTTTTTTATTGACAATGTCTCCTCTTTAATATAAAAGCCTCAAAAAAAGAAGTTTTGACTCATTTGTATAACATTGCCATGTACATAGTACAAATTTGAAATAAAAATTTATTTAATGAGTGTTATATAATGCATACATTTATTTTTGCTTCAACTAGAAATGGATTGTCTCAGTTTGAGCAGAAAGAAAAATCTTCATTTTCCCAAACTAGAAGGAAGGGGAATATAGACCATCCCACCAAGAAACATCCCATAGAGGGAAAAAGACTTAAAATCAGGAAACTTTTAAATAAAGTGATTGCCCTATGCATCTCTATTGGGTTCTTTCCAATAGAAAAACTAACTAGTAAGGCCAAAACTTTACTTTTTAATTTTAGGTAGCTATAAGGAAACACTTTATTAATTAGCTACCTCATTAGCAAGAACTTTGCTACTTCCTGTTTTAATAGTGCTAGAGGAAAAAAAATTATTAATTAGCTACCTCATTAGCAAGAACTTTGAACTTCCTGTTTTTATAGAGGAAAAAAATAAACTAGATTATTATTAATTTTTTATGTAAATATTTTATGATCTCTCAGTTTTTTTAAAGAAACTCAGTTTTACAGATATGAAACTAACTCAAATAAGGGTCAAGTGTCCATTTAGCTTTTTATTTAGACATAATATTACATAATACATTTGATAGTTCCAATCTTCAACTTAAAGGTAGTTCCAATCTTCAATGTCAAGAATTTAAAGAGTAAGAAGGTACCTTCTGCAATTATATTTTTCATTTCTAATTTCAGGGAGTATAGGGGACCAAACAGGGAGACTATTAAAAGTGGTTACAGAGCAAGAAGCAGGTTGGTTACCTAACTTCACATTTTCAAGTAGATTTCTCTGACAGGATCAGTGGACAAGATGATAATCAGTTCCCTAGACCCGTGGTCGGCAAACTGCAGCTCTCGAGCCACATGTGGCTTTTTGGCCCCTTGAGTGTGGCTCTTCCACAAAATACCACAGCCTAGGCGAGTCTATTTTGAAGAAGTGGCATTAGAAGAAGTTTAAGTTTAAAAAATTTGGCTCTCAAGAGAAATTTCAATTGTTGTATTGTTGATATTTGGCTCTGTTTACTAATGAGTCTGCCCTAGGTGAAAAGGATATCCCTCTTGAAAACTTTCCCCAAAGCCCCCTTCATGTCTCTGTTCCTCAGGCTATAGATGAAGGGGTTCAGCATGGGGGTCACCACTGTATACATCACTGAGGCAATTATGTCTTTGCCATTGGAGTTGTTTGATGATGGGAAAATGTACAGAGCCATAGTTGTTCCATAGAACAGAAACACCACGGAGAGGTGGGAGCCACAGGTGGACAAGGCTTTGCAGATCCCTTTGGTAGAGGGGATCCTCAGGATGGAGACACCAATGCGGATGTAAGAGACCAGAATCCCAGTAAATGACAGGATAGTGATCAATCCCCCAGTAGCGAAGATAAAAATTTCATTGAGGGAGATGTCTGAGCATGAGAGCTTAAGCAGGGCAGCAAGATCACAAAAGAAGTGAGGGATAATGTTGTCAGCACAGAAGGACAATTGAGCCACGAGGATGGTGTGGGACAGGGCAATGCTACCAGAGAGGAGCCAAGATCCAGCCAACAGAAATGTGCACAGTTCCTCCCTCATGATGGTGGTATAATGTAGAGGCTGACAGATGGCCACGTACCTGTCATATGCCATTACTCCAAGGAGAAGGGTATCAAAAGAACCAAAAAATATAAAAAAATACATCTGGGTTACACACCCTCCATAGGAAATGGATTGATCCTGAGTCTGCATGTTCATGAGCATCTTAGGAACAATGACAGATGAGAAGGAGACATCAGAGAAGGCCAAGTGGCTGAGGAAGAAGTACATGGGCGTGTGCAGGCGAGAGTCCAGCCTGATAAGCAGGATGATGAGCAGGTTGCCCAGCACCGTGGTCAGGTACATGCCCAGGAACAGGGTGAAGAACACGCCCTGTTGCCCTGGTGGGATGGGGAGCCCCAGGAGGAGGAACTGGGACACGCTGCTCTGGTTCTCCCTTCTCATGCTGCCCTTCTTTTTTGCATAGATTAAAGGAATATTAGAAATGTCTCCGATAAATAGTGATAATGGCCAACCGTTGAGTTATCTGTTTTCTCTGGAGAAATTCCTCAGGTATTTCTCACATGTTGTTGCCGAATCCTCACTCTCACATCATAGGGAGATAAAGAGGGAGCCATCAGACCTCCATTGGTCCACAAAATGCCCTTCAGTGTAAACCAGATGAAATTTATTTATTTATATGACATGTTAGACACTGACCTATTTTCTGGAGAAAATAAGATAAAGTCCCTTCCTTCCAGAGCTCACATTTTAAGGAATCGCCTCTTCATGAACTTGTTCTGAGTACCTGAGAATCTGCAATCTTGTGGGTTCTGACTCCATCACTTTCTAGCTGGTTTCAACAGCTTACCTTCTAGCCTGATTTTTAATCTTTATCAAATAAGTATGATAATTCTTACCCATAGGATTTGTAGAAGAATTAAATGATCCCATGAGATTTATGATATAGCAGAGTTCTTTATGTAGTAAGGGCACAGCTATGTCATCTGACATGTTCAGGCCAGTGTGAGTGTCCAGATAAATCTTGTGGTGTTTTTTTTTTTTTTTTAAATATTGGGTTGATCTTTAGGAATCTAATATACCAGAAATGTGAGGTGGGCATTCGAAAGAAGCAGGTGGCTGATCTAAAAGTTGTGTTCATCTATAAATTTATTTAATTTGGATTTAAATATTTTTTCTTTACCTATTTTTGTTGTTCATTTCTTTGAGTCTATCTTCAGTGAATCAATTAGCTCATATCTGAAATTTCAAATGCAGTAAGGCACCTAGGGACCTGAGAATTGATAGATGCTATAAGATTGGTTATCCCTACTAAAGTTAATATTTACTTGATTAATCTATTTCCCAATGTCAATCTTAATGTAATTGACATTTATTGAACATGTATGCAACTGTATGAAGGCAAAAGGAAGGGATTTTTGCATATATGTATATATATTTATGTAATGTTTGTGCATATGCAAGCATGCTGAAACTAAGAAATGTTACTAAATCAGCTCATCGTCACATGGCCAGTAACCACTAGTCTTCATTTCCCCCCATTGTATCTATTTTATTGTCTAAGCTCCCATTGAACATAATCTACCTCAACGTATTTAATTAATCAACATAGTCAGGCCTTTGAGGCATGTTATTTCAGTGTTTGAAAGAGGATCTCTATATTACCTTAATCACCAACTCAGATGTTTGCCCATCACTCATTCCTACAGCCATTTATATGCCTACAGCCTATAGTTTGCAAACAGCTTTCACATACTTTCAACTACAGGCAGTCTATATGTATTTTGTGTCTGGAAAGGAGAGAAGACAGAGACTTTTATTTTTCATTCTACTAACCTGAGAAGTGAAGTCACTTACACAGTGTATTTGGTGGTGGAACTTGATGTCAAAGAGAAGTCTCCCAAGGCTCTTCTCATTAGAAACAGACACTACTCATTTCTCTGCAGGGGAGTGGCTGGTAGAGTTAAAATACCTATATTTTATGATGCCTGGAAGAGGAAACTGACATAAGACATGGGAATTCACATTTGACAGTAGATTCTTGTTCCAGACTAGGGTGATTCTCAGGGACAATGGGACAGTAGGAGGAAATTGGTGACCTCATTCTTTACTAAGCTTCGCTGCTCATTGACAATTGCTGGGTGAGACTTCAACTAAGAGCTCTGGCTTCTCTGGAGGTGAAGTGTGGGTGCTGGGGGGCCAGAAGACCTGATGTGTGCAGGCACGGCGCTGCAGTCTCAGGGAGCTAGTCAGCGGGAAGGGAACCTTCATCTTGTATGTAAATGGTAGTGTGACCTGTGCTCAGTGATGAAGTCGTAAACCAAGGTTTGAGAGGATTTTGGCACGGGCCTGCTGTCCCAGCTGACAAGTGTATTCTCTCATGGGGAGCTACTTGGATGGGCAGCCAGGAAAGTCAGCCTCCATCTGAAGAAGAGTATACACTGGCTTCAGTGACTGGTTGCTTACTGTGTGCCTGATACGTATTAAACTGTTGTCATCAATATTTACAGGCGCTAATATTATTCATTTATCTTTAAGGCTTCTGGCCTCAAAGAGATCAATGTAAGGCCACAAAGCTATTGGAGGACAATAGCAGAGTTTGAGGACACCCAAACCAGGACACTTAATGAGGCTGCCATGTTCTCTAAGTATAAATATGGATAATGCTAAAGGCCAGAGTGAGAAATATGAACCCAGTGCACTGGGGCAGTACTGAAACCCACACAGTCCAGTAGCCCCAATAGAGCTTAATGTGGATCCAGTTTGTAAGTGCCTAGCTATGTTCTGATCTTGAGTCCAAAGGAACATCAGAAAGGGAGACTGTTTCATACATGGGTACACACACACACACACACACACACACACACACACACACTCTTAGAGTTTCAAGCTTTTACTTTCTACTTTCTCCTTATCTGTTCTACTCAAACCCCGATTTAGTAGAGGTGTGAGTTTGTTAAAAACAATATATACACATCTTCTATACATATACTCGGTTTCTCTATTCTCTCTCTCTCTCTCTCTCTCTCTCTCTCTCTCACACACACACACACACACACCCAGCACACATATTGTTGAAGAATAATTTGTTATTTTTTTTCTGATATATGTATGTTCTAGTTGAAAACGGCCATAGTACAAAACTGTTTCACACAAATTCATAAATAATCATATGTGCAAAATGCTCACAATACACAGTCATACAAAGAACTTAAGAATAACGCATAACAGAAGCACATACATGTAGGCACTTATATACAGTCACATATATTCAGATTGCAACATACAGAATCATACAAACAGTACATAGATAGCATAGACATAACCACTAAAGCACACGCATTGCTCAAAGATTTTCAGCCTGGCCTGATCAGTGCACATCCATGTGTTTCAGTGACACTTACAGGTAGAAATACACAGAACACACATACCTAGTGTCATGTTCCCACACACATATTTATAGGGGCAGAATCCTGGCCCATTTTAACCTATGCTAGTCTTTGATAATCTCAAATACCTTCTGCTCTGCGCTGTTTCCTTAGTCTTCACTTTCTGTCCAAGAGACTGGGGAGCTACATGACAAGATGCAGCCTCCATGGCCCAAAGACCTTCATAAATTTGCTTGTTTGTTTATCAGCAACAGAACAATGGGCAAGAGTGGTTTATTTATAGCAGAAAGAAGACACGGGGAAAAGAACACCTAGGATCTTCAATAGAGAAACAACCAATGTGGACTAATTGAAGAAATTACTGCTGGCCTCTTGGGGAGGAGCCTGTGCAGAGAACAGAGGGGATGAGTCACTGCAGTCCCTGAAGACAATGTCTCTGGTGTCTGCTGAAAGGAGCATTCTGGGCTCCTTTCTATCTAACTGGTGGTTCCAGGTGGATGGCAGGAGAAGCCAAGGTCAATCTGGGCTTCTCAAGTGCACATGATTGTAGAATAAGCCTGTTCCTTTCACAAGCAAGGCTCTTGTAGCTCCTCCTATGAAGCTCAGCAGGTCTCCCAGCTACTTGGAAAGGCACCTGGAAGGCAAGGGCTGGGCCTCACTCAAATGGTAGGAAAATGAAAGGATGGAGTCTGTAGGGTCTTGAATTGAATTTGAGCTCTGCCACTTACTGTACAATATAATTTAATTCTACAGCATTCAGAGTCTTTAAATGTAAAGTGTTAAGAATACTACCTGCCTTATTAGGGTATTGTAAGAATTAAATGAGATAATGCTTATTAGAGTTCTTATCACAGTGCCTAATATATGCAAAATTCTAATAAATATTAGGGCATATCACCAATAATGGCAGAGCACTTAATAAGCACTGGGAAATTAAGTGACTTAATTAATTAGTTCTTTTTAATAGATAGTTATTAAAGACTTTTTAAATGTGACAGTCTAGGCTGAGGGAGCACAGCAATGACTAAAATAAAAATACATAATCTGGTAGAGCTACATTTTAAGGGGATGAAGCAAACAAAAAAATAAAACCAATCAATACACAACAAAACAAAACTATAAAAATCACATGGTCTGTTCTATAGAATTACTTAGGAATTTATTTTATTTCACCCTTTAATTATAGTGTTAATTTGAAATATGGTTAGATTAATTTGTTTTATTTTGTTTTGTTCACCACCTCCTATTTATTCTTAGTGACAAAAGACAACATGGTCAAACAATACAAATAATTCTACTCATCTCTAATCTTTTCTGCCCCACCTCTTGTAGGTAAACAATCTCATTAGTTTCTGATTAATTATGCTTGTGTTTCTTTTTGCTCAAATGGGAAGAAACATGTATATTTTATTTCTCCTTCATTTTTACATAGAAAGTAGCATGTTATAAGTATACTTTTGCACATTGCTTTCCTCCCATTTACCAATATATCCTCATATTTCTTCATATTGATCCATAGATATATTTGTTCTTATTTTTTCCATAGTTGCAAAATACTCAATTGCATTGATGTACTATAGAGTTTTCTTTAAGAGTCCTAGAATGAGATATTGGTGATGAATGCACTTAATGCCTCAGAATTGTATACCTCAACTCAATAAAATGGTAAATTTTGTGTTTTGTATAGTAAAGTATAATTAAAAAATTAAAAATTAAGTAAAAGGTAACAAGTAATTTTTGCATAAAACGGACAAGAATTATAAGATAATAATTTAAGATTAAGCTAACAGAGGGGTAATGGAATAACAAAATATATATTAAATCAAAAGGGAGGAAGACAAGAGAATAAATATGAAACAGATATGTTGAATAAAGTCATAGTAATGTGGAAAATATAAGTTTAAATATATTGTGGCTACATTAGTTATCTATATATATAAAAGGCCAGTGATCGGAACACTGTAACCACCAGAATGTGTAATAACCATAATGACTGGTAGCTATGTTGCCCACTGAGGCCAGTGAACCGGCCTGATTGGTGGAAAAGGACCGGCT